AGGGCCAGGGTAAGAGTCTCAAGACAACCCCACCAGCCTGAATCTATGATTCACCCCCCCCCACTCTACTATATCTCAATTTTCACATTTTTCAGAAATTCCGACATAACATTGTAAGTGCTATTTTCACTAAGTGGGTAGGTGCACTTTGTGTTGTCAAGATTCCTAGTTGTATCTTTTTGAGATAAAGTTCTTTTCATCTCTTGCTGCTTAGTGTCAAATTAGTTTCAGATCAAAGAGCAATGTGGGCAGAGCACAGAAGACTAATGTCGCCTCTAACTCATTGTAAAAAAAAAAAAAAATCATGAATTTGAACAGAAAAAGACTACAGAATGATGTCAAAATTCAAAATTTTTTATCCTTTAATAGTCAGTTGTATTTGATTAATTTGTAATGTATATAAATGTAGGTAGAAAAACGTAAATGTTGATAAGATAGTAAGGATCACAAAGCACTGCCCAGGAAACCCCAATCATGCTTATCCCCCTGCATCAAGGGCTTCGGTGGTAGTATGCACCAGCCCTGCTTATGTTTAATGTTTGTTTTTGCTGATATTTATAGAGGTCAGATAAAACATCTCTTAAATACTTGGAAGTAACAATTCTGATAGAATCAACTCTCTTGAATTAATTGATGATTATCAGCATTTTTTTCAAAGCATTTGATACAAAGTCTAATGAACACTTGTAATTTTGTTCATTCTAGATGTTTAAAACTGGGCAAAAATATTTAAAACAAATTCTGTTAGCAGTTGCTCAAACAACCTATTGTTACAGCTTCTTGCTTTTCAGTTAACTTTGATCTTCAAAAATTGAAATGCAATGTCAATCATTATCTTTTGTCTTTTAATTTCTAATCTTTTATGGTTTTTCTCCTTAATGTTTTTTTTTTTTTCTCATATTCTCTCACAATCAATAACCCCTTGTGTCTAAGTGGCTTTTATTGCCTTGTATGGGGTGAAATGATTAAACCCACACATGCACAATAATACTAAAATTCTTTTTACTGGCTAAGCTATTTTCATTTTCTCATAAAATTTGTAAATATTTTGTTAATGGGTTTGAACTTTTATAACCTGGTAAGTCATTTTTGTAATGATTTTATTTTAAATTCAATAATTCACATGTCTTGCTTATTGGTATTTTTTTTTTTTTTTTTACTACTAAGCTTGATGTTATTGTACTTTTGTACTCCCCATCAAAACACTATTTATTTTCTGCACATTAAAATGTTCTTTCCTTTATACAATCACCATTGATGAAGGTGTTTTCAATAAAATTCTATGACTTCTGTTCATTTGTCTGTCCGTCTATCAAACTCTAAAATAGCTATATTGACCGAGCAAAATTTGGTACAAAATACTGTTGGTTTTACTCTGGTGTGTAAAAACCTCAAAGTAGAGTTATTGCCAAAGTATTTTTCAAAACAAATCAGCTTATTCAAATTTCATCGATTGGCTTGTGAAATTGTATGTATTGTCGAGTTTGTAAAAATCTCAACAAAAAATGTTAGCAATAACTTCAACAATAAACTGTGATTACAACATGCTAATGTGTGTTGTAAAAAAATTCTAGTTATACAAATTGAAGAAGAAACAATAAATCCATGATGATTTGATGACAAAAATAATTAAATTTTGAGTCTTTCCACATAAACTCCATTGTGTAAAAGTTAAGTATACCATCATAATTTATTTTTCTCTGTGCAAAGATTTTTACCAATTTCCACTATTCTGTTGCTCAGGATAATTATAGAAGTTGACAAAATTATAATATAGCACCACTTGTTTTAATTTGGGGAAAGTCTACATGTGTAGAGCATTTAGTATTTTTTAGTGAGGTACAAATTTACTCATGAATTGCCAGATTAGTTTACTTTAAATATCCATGACACGACAGCGCGGTGTCCAGCCTGCTTTGTTTCAGTTTTCCAACTACATCTCAAAAGTGACAAGAATTTAAAAATATGCAATTACAACTACTCTTAGTTAAAAATGTCTTGATTTCATAAATAATTCAGTTTTATGAAATTTTTACATAACATTTGTTTTTCAAAAATTGAATGCCGGTTCAGTCAGTCAGTAAATTATGTGGTTTTAACAACAAAATGAAGCATTTTCTAAATCATATACACGTGAGTAAACAACTCGTGCTGAAAAATCCTTGCCTGTTCCCATAACATAGTTTAGTGTTTAAATCTGAAGAGGCAATTGGAAACTTTTTCTAAGTACATCTCCACTACTGTGTTTGTTTTTCCTCACTATTTATTATTTATCTCATCAAGCATCTATATTGCCTTTGCTGATTTTTTTTTTTTTTTTATATATATATATTTGTTTTCATTTTTTTAATTAAAAACTAAATTTTTTTTTTTTTTTTTTTTTTCTTTAAGACTATATATTTTTTCTACTACTTTTTCCTTTTTTTTCTTTACTATCATCCTCTTTCTTTTTTCCTTTTTTTTTCTATATTTTTTTCTTTTTCCTTTTTATATTTCTTTCCTTTTTCCTTTGCACTATATTTCTTTCCTTTTTCCTTTGCACTATATTTCTTTCCTTTTTCCTTTGCACTATATTTCTTTCTTTTTTTCCTTTGCACTATATTTCTTTCCTTTTTCCTTTGCACTATATTTCTTTCCTTTTTCCTTTGCACTATATTTCTTTTTTTTTTCCTTTGCACTATATTTCTTTCCTTTTTCCTTTGCACTATATTTCTTTTCTTTTTCCTTTGCACTATATTTCTTTTCTTTTTCCTTTGCACTATATTTCTTTTCTTTTTCCTTTGCACTATATTTCTTTTCTTTTTCCTTTGCACTATATTTCTTTCCTTTTTCCTTTGCTCTATATTTCTTTCCTTTTTCCTTTGCACTATATTTCTTTCCTTTTTCCTTTTATATTTATATTTCTTTCCTTTTCCTTTTCTTTTTTCCTTTTATTTTTCTTTCCTTTTTCCTTTGCACTATATTTTTCTTTTCCTTTCTATATTTCTTTCTTTTTTTCCTTTGCACTATATTTCTTTCCTTTTTCCTTTGCACTATATTTCTTTCCTTTTGCACTATATTTCTTTTCTTTTTTTCTATATTTCTTTTTTTTCCTTTGCACTATTTCTTTTCTTTTTCTTTTCTATTTTCTTTTTTTTTTTTTTCCTTTATTATATTTCTTTTCTTTTTTCCTTTGCACTATATTTCTTTTTTTTTTTTTTTTCTATTTTCCTTTGCACTATATTTCTTTTTTTTTTTCCTTTGCACTATATTTCTTTTTTTTTTTTCCTTTGCACTATATTTCTTTTTTTTTTTTGCACTATATTTCTTTTTTTTTCCTTTTTATTTCTTTTCTTTTTTTTTCTATATTTCTTTTTTCCTTTGCACTATATTTCTTTTTTTTTTTTTGCACTATATTTCTTTTTTTTTTCCTTTCAGACTTTGCACTAATTTTTTTTTTTTTTCCTTCAGACTGTAATTCTTTTTTTTTTCCTTCAGACTATAATTTTTTTTTTTTCCTTCAGACTATAATTTTTTTTTCATTCAGACTATTTTTTTTTTTTCATTTTTTATTTTTTTTTTTTCATTCAGACTATATTTCTTTTTTTTTTTTCATTCAGACTATATTTCCTTTTTTTTCATGCAGACTATATTTCTTTCCTTTTTTTTATTTTCATTCGGACAATCTTACCTTTTTTTTTTTTCATTTCGGACTATACTATTACATTTTTTGTTTGCCCTATAATTTTTTTTTCATTCACCCTATATTTCTCCCCCCGCTATAATTCTTCCCCCTTTTTTCTTTCACAATCTATTTCTTCCCCTCCTTTTTTCTTTCGCCCTCTATTTCTTCCCCTCCTTTTTTCTTTCGCCCTCTATTTCTTCCCCTCCTTTTTTCTTTCGCCCTCTATTTCTTCCCCTCCTTTTTTCTTTCGCCCTCTATTTCTTCCCTTCCCCTTTTTTCTTTCGCCCTCTATTTCTTCCCCTCTTTTTTTCTTTTCGCCCTCTATTTCTTCCCCTCCTTTTCTTCCCTTTTTTTTTTCGCCCTCTATTTCTTATTTTTTTTTCCCTCCTTTTCCTTCGCCTCTATTTCTCGCCCCATTTTCCTTCGCCCTCTATTTCTCGCCCCATTTTCCTTCGCCCTCTATTTCTCGCCCCATTTAACTTCGCCCTCTATTTCCTTCACCCTATATTTCTTTTCTCCTTTTTTTTTTTCTTTCACCCTATATTTCTTTTCTCCTTTTTTGTTTTTCTTTCACCCTATATTTCTTTCCTCCTTTTTTTTTTCTTTCACCCTATATTTCTTTCCTCCTTTTTTTTTTCTTTCACCCTATATTTCTTTCCCCAACTTCCTTTCTCTACGCATTTTCTGTCTCCTACGTTTTCTTTTCCACTTTAATTGTGGCTTTTATTCTCTTTGCCACATTTGTTTTGAACGCTGTTGTTTGTTTTTTTTTTTTTTTGTACGTCTCACCTCACACACACACACACATTCGCACTTGCACACACACACACACACACACATTCGCACTTGCAGACACACACACACATTCGCACTTGCGCACACACACACACATTCGCACTTGCAGACACTCGTACACACACTCTCATTCGCACTTTCACATATAAACACACCCAGTATAACATCCTATACTTGGGATAGGTATCAGAGAATTCAGCCTATTGCTTGGCCAGAATGTAGGTTTAGTAGTTTGCCTGACTATATAAACATTTGGAACTTCAATCCAAGCACACTGCGGTGCCATTCTTGCTTGGTTCACTTTACACATGTGCCGTCTCCTCTCCATTTTGCTAATGTTCATTACTGAAAAGGTAAGTCATTTATACTTACTTGAAACTTGATTAGCAGTTTTTTATTCTAATTATGAAGTTGAATATTTTACATCAGCACAAGTAGTCTTCACCAAAAAAAAAAAATGAATACCTATTGCTTTCTCACAGGTAAAGTTTTGAACAGCTTTTTTTTTCTGACTTGTGTAGAAAGTTTTTTTTTTTTTTTTCTTTTAGCTTGTCATCGTGAATATTTGGGATGAGATAGTAGGGGGGCGCTAACATAATAAAAAGATGATTGCGTGTGAATAGGGAATAATATTTGTTTATTCAAGCAAAGATAAAAATAACATCTTTGACTAACGTTACACTAAATATTTGATCCCCCACCTTTTCATAAAAGTTGACATTATTTTCACTCGGATTTTTATAAGTATTTTTTTTTCTCAATTTCTTTAATTTTGGTAATTCTTTTAGTTTTTTTGTAACTTTTTCAGTAATGCATACATTTTGTAATTAAATTATGGTTTTAAGAAATTAAGTTAGTATTTGCATTCGTCGTTCTCATCTCTGTTGTTTTTTAAACTCTTGGAAGTTTTATGGTTTTAAAATGTAAGTAATTTTTTTCTTGTACATTCGTGAAAACTGTCTACACATTCTCAAACTACAGTCACCCTTGAATTTTTTTTTTTTTTTTTTACTTCTAGTTCAGGTAAAACAAAAATATTTCAAGTAAATATTGAATTTTTATTCAATAATTAATATAATTTTAATAAAATTATTACCGTATTTCCAAATTAATTTTAAATTTTGTAGTTAAAACTTACGTTTCTATAATAATAATAACAATTAATTTAATTAATAATAGTAATAATACCTATCTCTGTGACTGTCTTGTTCATTGGCAAAAATTTAAAATACTACTAAAAAACAATTTATAAAATTATCTATTGTTTTTAGTTTAAACATTCTGAAGTAAAAATGATTCTTTTGTCAAAAAGTGCTATTTAAACTAAAGATATTTTTTACCTACTAATTATTAGTAGGTATAAAATTATTAAAAAAATATTAAAATATATTATCAAAAAATATTATAGCCATGAAACACAAAAATAAGGTAACTAGAATAATTATTTCATTTTTACTGTTTGCTATTATTTCATAATTTTAACTGTTTTACTTTTCTTTTAGTTAAAAAAAAATTACTTCTAAAATTTGAGAAAAAAATATGCTTATTGCTCAGTAAACCAGTGCAAAGTGACTATTTTGAAGGAGATTTATTTTTTTTTTTTTTTTATAAAATTTTAATTTTATATATATGAAGAAAAATATTTCCACAGTGACTTTATCTGAACTAATGGTGACTATCGTCGCTATAAGTTAAACCGTGCCTTTTAGTTTTACTTTTAATTATGTTTTAGTTTGACTGAATGCAAAGTTTATTTGCATTCAGCCATATGTGCAAGACTTATCAGACGTTTTTTTTTGTTTAAAAGAATAAGAATCAAACACTTAAAAACCCATAGGTAATATTTTTTATTTCACGAGAGCTCAAAAAAATAAATAAATAAAGGAGCTCTCAATCTTCAAAACCTACAAAAAAATCACAAATGAAATGGAAAAAAAAAATTCCGTTTTAAATTCAAGAGATATTGCTATTAGTGGGAAAAATAAAATAGCAATATCTCTTGATTTTTAACGCGGAATATTTTCCCCATTTCATTTATTGATTTGTTTGTAGTTCTATCTTGAAGATTGAGAGCTACTTTTTTTCTTAAGAGCTCTCATTAAATAAAAAAAATTATTACCTATGGGATTGTAAGTGTTTTGATATTTATTCTTTAATTAATAATAATTTTGCTCTGTCTTTTGACATGGAGCTCTCCTCCTGGAAATTCCATACGGATCATTGTTACAGGCAAGGTTTAATCAAAACAAAAAGTTAGCAAAATTACCAACCCTATCCGATTTATTTTTGACCGAAAAGAAAAGCGTAATTTACATAGGAATATTTTGTTTCAGTCTCTGATTCGCACGAAGGTTCAAGTGAAGTGAAGTATTTTTACAATTTACACACACAAAAACAAAAGGATAAAAAAAAAACAGCTTTATTATTTATTTATAGAATTACTTTTTCCCGGTCACATGGTTCATCAGTGTTTAGTTTGAGGGATTACCATCCAAATGCAATTCAAGCTATATATAGAGATGCCCTTATAGCTCACATCGATAACAAATACCAAACCAAAGCATTGGATGTATTGTAGGTATTTTGTTTTATTTTAAATTTTTATGTAAATAGAAACAGTTTCTTCTGTTGCCAACTAACTTTAACGTTGCCTCTGTGTGTTTACACAACACGCGCATGTCTACCGACGAAGGGAATATAGCAGGGGCCGTGCACGCCCTGAGCCTACTAAGAATAATAATATTTTAAAAAAATATATATAAAAATAATAAAAATAATTAGGTGATATTAAATCATGCAAGGAACTTCAGAATGGTCACAATCTCTCGTACCCGGTCTCAGGGTATGACTGTCCCACATCTCAAGGTACACTAGTATTCGCGTATGTAATTTAAAATTAGTAAAACGGCGCACAGTTGGTGATTTAACAAAAAACAAAACAGTGCTCGAGGTACAACAGAGCTAAAATTTATACTATAATTTTTTTTATATAGCAAGAACAGTTTTTCTAGGAAATATGACAAAGTGGAAAAAAATTTTTCGTGTGACACGTTTCGACCTTTACGACTTCACTTACGTTTACGTTGATGAAGCTAAGCCTCTCTACAGGCACACGAAGGAGAAATTTAATTAATTTTTATTTATATAGGTGGGATCTGTAGCCGATTTCTTTTAGTTTCTTTTTACTCTGTCATTTTCCACAAAAAATATACTGATGATTGTGTGCATTTTTAGTACGCACGAAACTGGATGTCGTGGTCAGTCATGTGTACGTCGGATTTCATTGTATGATAAAAAAAAATTTAAATACTCGTCGAATTAGCCGGCGAAGATGCGTGGTTACCCATAGTAGTATATTTTTATGTTACTATTCAGTTCTGTTAACAAAAATAAAATTAAAAAAAGACTGTAGTAGTGTAGGGCATCTTGATAAAATATACAAATGAACAAAAAAAAATTTTTTTTTTTAATTGCGCAAAAATGTATTTAGCTTTTTTAACGTTATATTTTTCTTCTTAAAAAAGAAATAAAAAAAAAATGAAGTAAAATGAAAGTGGAGTAGGTAGGAGCAGTGTTGAATATTGATTGGACATTTATATAGCGTGGATTTTTAAATGTTCCACCCCTGTAAAAGTAAATAAATAAACAAAAATAAACAAAAGTATGTATAAAATTTTGAAAATTGTGATACATGTAAATTTCCTTATAAATTATCTTTTTTCCCCTCACCTACTCCAGATAAGAATGTCCTTCGTTCACTTCAGAATGCATACTTAAAGTACGCATGTTTTTTGTTTTGTTACTATCTCACAGAATTAGATACAGTGACAGCCCTCACCAATGTGTGCGTGCGCGCGCACACACACACAAGCCAAAAAGTTGCTAAAAAAAAAAAACCTCTCTTCATTGTGACTCTACCATGTGTTCTTGCATCATTTAAGACGAAGAAGTCTAGAAAGGCGTATTGCTCATCGGGTAGGAACGCCAGATCTTTAACCAGAGAACATTGTTGGCAAAGATTCAAGCCAAAATTAGCCACGAAAAACGAACAAAAACCAAACTACGTAAATTATTTCATCATTCTTGCAAATTCTTGAGCTGGAGAATTAGTCTCGTTTGTGCTTTTTTCCTCCAGACTTGCTTTTTAAGTATTGTTTTGACTTGTCAGTTTTTCCACTCAAGATAGTCAAGTCAAGTGTCTCTTATTTTCAGTTTCTCTTATTGTTGAGTTTGCGAGCAACACCCCAACAAAATGATACTGGGATACAGTCTAAAAAGGAAGAGTACACCAGGAATATGTATCACAGCCAAATTCGCACGATATGTTGATACTGATATGAAGTTTTAATTAAAAGTAGCACATAACCTTGCAAGTGGGGCCCCAGTTAGAAAGACCTTCAGGTTGTTTGGGTAACGGCAGTCCGCTCAAACGATCTGAAGGTGTTCCCATGTATCTTGATGGAACTCCCAAGTCAACTTATACTTCAAGTCTAACGACTGTATCACGTATGATTGCCGAAGTTAAGCAACCTTGAGCCTGGTTAGTACCTCGATGGGTTATCGCTTGGGAATACCAGGTGTTGTAAACTAGGATGTGCAGGTGGTGTAAGTAATGGATATTAGCTCGGAATTGCTAATCGAAGTGCCGAGTTCCAATTATCCGGTCAGGTTCATTACATTCAATTATGTGCAAAATACTGCTGGGAAAGATATGAATCCCCTTCTCCCCTCCAGCTGTGGGTTAATTAGTAAGACTTGTATCACTAAATCAGTATTATCTACCTCCCCCCTCAAATTCTTACAATTAAAAAATATTTTCTGGCTTTAAATAACCTGCAAAGGGTTGATAAGCCATAGAAAATTAATCAATCAAATCAAATACTGATTAGTGATTGGCTGCCCAGGCATGTCCTTTAGATTTATTTACATTTTACATTCTCTGGAATATAAATATATAGAAACTACTGTGGCCACAAAATGAGTGATCAGTTTATGTATTTATTCCCCACTTTATATCCACATTAAATTTCTTCAAAATTAGTTTTTCAAATATTGATTAGATATGAATGCACCTTTCTCCCAGTTATGGGTTAATTAGTAAGACTTGTATCTAAACCATTATCTAAAAAAAAAAAAAAAAATTCTTACAGTCTAAAAATATTTTCTGTCTTCAAATAAACCTGTAAAGGGTTGATAAACCCATAGAAAATGAATCAATCAATGCCCTATCCTTCAAGGTTCGAGCTTAACGGAAAAAAATATTCCCACCCGTCCATAATGCTACCTTCCACTACTCTCACTTATGAACAGAAGCTCGATGTGTCAACTCCTAGGGGACATTTCCAACTAGTTAAGGTCAAGCAACTGACAAGTAGATCTGTGATACTGAACTGGATGTTTATTTACTATAGCCTATCTCAATTCACCACAACAGACTTTGTACATGTTAACACTTCCAATCAGTTGAAGTCAGAAGCCACAAGAACCATGTTTGGTGTTGCATCAGATTTTTTCTTCTTTCTTTTTTTAATTATTGCTACAAATTAGACTGACCTCAATTATGGGTGCCATCCAGGTCAGCGATTAACCTGTATTTTCCGCAGATTTTGAATTGTTACTGAGCAGATTTTGCAAAGGAAGTGTGGTTGAATAGGACGTGCTCAGAAGATGTCAGTATCTAGCATCACCCACAAAGCCCTGACCTGGAATCCATTGCAGGGTGCGAGAGGGTATGGCCAAGAAACACCTGGAGATGTGACACTGGGAATGAATTGAAAAGATAGGGAAACAATGAGCTGAGGTGACTATGATCAATGTCCATGACCTATGATTTCTCTGGGAGCAAAAGGGTGGCATCATCATAAATGGTCTTTGCATTTGACATACATACATACATAGACACACACACACACACACACACACATATATATATATATATATATATATATATAATTTTATGTCTGAAATTATGGGATGATTTGTCATTACACTATTTACTTTTGAACTATTGTCCTCAATGTTATTGCTATAATCACATCTGATGAAGGTCTGAAATGTTGTGATATCAATAACAAAGATGAGGATACTAGCCTATAAATAGTGTGTGTGTATATATATATATATATATATATATATATATATATATATATATATATATGTGTGAGAGAGAGAAATATAGTTTTAGGGTGTGCTATATAAAAGGGCTTAATATAGGAGATAAAGCATATGTAAATATAAAAGTGAATATTGAAGTCCACATTCAAGCCTGACGATTATGTCTACCATTAAACAGTGTGTTGACTTCAATGTTCACTTATATATATATATATATATATATATATATATATATATATCAAACAGTATTTAGGAAAAAAAATCCTAATGGATGAAACACATCACAAGAAATGTTACAGCTTGTTTATATATATATATATATATATATATATATAATTATAAATTAAACATTATTTTTAGTGAATGCATAAAGAAAAATATGTGCTCTCCAGCAGGATTTGAACCTACACTCCACTTGGCAGGATAAACTGTTAGATCTAATGTGCTTATGCTGACATAACTCTGAGCATATACTCAAATATGGGTATCCACAAAAACAAAAATGTTTAAGTGAGATATATACACTTATGTTCAGCAGCATTATACTTATATACAATGAGTTAAGCATTTACATGTTAATTTCAATATAATCAGCTGATTTATATGCAAAATTCATGCTATGCCCATAGAAATTGGTATTTACTGTGTTTGATAGAATGACCATATGCCTTATCCAATTTACATTTTGTATTATAGTTTTAGGCAAGTTGCAAGTTCTGGTGGTTTATGACATCTGAATAAACATTAATCACCCAAATATTTTAGCTTCACAGATAATGTCTGTATATGTTTTTTTTTTGGGGGGGGGGGGCTGGGGTGGAATAAAGCTGAGGGGTTCTGTGGCCTCAAATGTATATATGGCAGAATTCCTTACTGTTAAACCATTCCAGTTAATAGAAATGTGGAAAAAATTTAGAAAATATTTTATTGCTCTCCCTTCTCATACCTCAGAAAAAAAAAAAGAGCAAAAAAAAAATGGTACTCTTCTCTATACCCTCATTTACATCAGAATCACTATTCAAACTTGTAAACTTCATTTAGTAATATCTACTCCTGCTTTTTACAAATTCTTATCTTGTTTTTTATATGGATATGTGTTTGGGTTTCATGCTTTTATAATCCTCAATACGACTGAATATGTTAGCTCTATCGCTAATATTCTGTGCTTTCCAATAATAAGTACCATGCATATATAATAGATATAGAAATTATATATAATATATTGTGTGAAAATTTCAGATAATATATCTATAAAAAGGCAATATGAATAAAGACAAAAGGAAAACTTATCTAAGTCCTTCAGGGGATGAAATGTGTTGGCTAAGATAATTTTCCATTTGTCTTAATGGATTTTATATTTATTAATCCTACATATTTTTATAACTTTAAACATTATTTTTAGTGGATACTGATATTTGAGTAGATGCTCTGTTTATTTATTAAACAATATATTTATTTTCATCTACTGGCCTGAATATTTGATAAACTTTATTAAAGATAAATATGTGTAGGTACACAGGTTTGGATCCTGCCAGAGAACGCATATTTTTTTTTTTTTTTTTAAGATTTCTCAAATATTCAGGCCAATATTTTAAAAATAAATGTACTGCTTAATGAATAAGCAGTAAACTAATAGTAATTTTAAAAAATAGTAAAAAATGAATATCCACTAAGATACATAGTAAATGTTTGTCACTTAGATTGACGTTACCTTCAGCATACTGACTATGAAGTTTTGTTGGCGGAAATGTCCATCTACTCTTCAGAGGGTATCAGCAATTTACTGCTTATATTTTTTAGATTTTTCTTTTTTCTTTTTATACACTTATCGCCTTAATTTTTTTTTTTTTTTTTTTTTCCCTCTTTTTCTATATTGCGTCCATGTGTACATTCAACCACCTGCATGGATGTCCATATATGTAAGATGTCATGATCATTTTTTTTTTTTTTTTTTTTTTTGTTCACTTTACACTTGCTCTTTAGCTTTCCTCTTTTCTTTCGACAGTTGTTGTTTGTGATGAATTGTTACAATCACCAGACATGTCACCATTTTTAATTTTGGGGTGGGGGTATGAAAATTTTTATATCACTCCTCATAATCTTGTGCCCAACTAATAACAGAACAGTTTAATTTGTGTATAGGCCTCTATACAAACTCTGCAGTTTTTGGTCTTCAGCTTCATATATGCTTTCTGCTCATAACATTTTCTGTCCATCTGTTATTTTTTTAAATTCAGTATATTTAACCAGCAATTATTCTTTTAAACATCTATTGTTAAAAACAATAGACATCTTATCTCTATTAAATTTAATCATATATTTTTCTAAAGTCCTTCCACACATGTGGTTGTTGTGTGTGGATAAATTAAACAAATACATGAGTCATCATCAGTGAGGATGAGTGATAAAAATTACATTTTAAGTAGATTGTGTATATTATTATTTTTACTTTTTTGAACTGAATCAAATTTATTTTTTATTTTCCTCATGTTAGTCCCTTTTATTTAGGGATGGTTGTTTTAGTTGGATGTACACATTTACTCTAATCTCTATTCACCTAATTTTTTTTTCTTTTTTTTTTTCTTTCCTTTTCTCTTTTCTTTTCTCTTTTCTTTCCTTTTCTCTTTTCTTTTCTCTTTTCTTTCCTTTTCTCTTTTCTTTTCTCTTTTCTTTCCTTTTCTCTTTTCTTTCCTTTTCTTTCCTTTTCTCTTTTCTTTCCTTTTCTTTCCTTTTCTCTTTTCTTTCCTTTTCTTTCCTTTTCTTTCTTTTCCTTTTCTTTCCTTTTTTTTCTTTCCTTTTCTTTCTTTTTCTTTTTCTTTTCTTTTCTTTCCTTTTCTCTTTTCTTTCCTTTCCTTTCCTTTTCTCTTTCCTTTCCTTTTTTCTTTTCTTTTCTTTCCTTTTCTCTTTTCTTTCCTTTTCTCTTTTCTTTCCTTTTCTCTTTTCTTTCCTTTTCTCTTTTCTTTCCTTTTCTCTTTTCTTTCCTTTTCTCTTTTCTTTCCTTTTCTTTTTCGCAATCAGATTCTTAAAGTATCCTCCTATTACAAGTTAGGAGCTGTGGAATATTATTGCGATTTTTGAAAAGAAAAACTAAATAAAATCACTATTTACATTATTCGGACTATTGTCCTCATCTTTGTCACCATATTTATTACAACGTTTCAGCTGTTGTATGCTCCGGCCTATTTCAGGTAGTTGGAATATCGAACTGAACCCTTTATTTTGCTTACTGGGGTAGACTGTTCTAGTTCCACTTGCCATGTTTAATGGATGTCAGTTATCAGTTATCTCCTGTTAATTCCCCAACTAATAACTGACATCCATTAAAACATGACACATGGAACTAGAACAGTCTACCCCAGTGAGCGAAATAAAGGGTTCTGTTTGACATTCCAACCACCTGAAGAAGGCCGGAGCATGCAACAGCCGAAATGTTGTAATAAAAATGAGGACAATAGTCTGAATAATGTAAACA